GACTTTGTGGATAAGGTGAGGGATGTCATCATGGAGACTGATGAAAAAACGGTCTCTTTTGATGTCACATCACTCTTTACGTGCATTTCTGTTGATGATGCAGTAGAGGTGGTCAGTTTAAGATTAAAATCAGACACCACTCTGAGCAGCAGGACCACGCTTTCCACAGAACAACTGTGTCAACTCTTGAAACTGTGCCTGCAGTCAACCTCCTTCACATATGGGGAGCAACATGGGTGTGCTATGGGGTCGCCAGTGTATCCTATTGTTGCCAACCTGTACGTGGAGGAAGTAGAAAAGAGAGCCTTGACGTCCTTTTCAGGGACAACACCAAGTCATTGGTTCAGGTATGTTGACGACACCTGGGTTAAAATTAAATCTCAGGAAGTCCAACATTTTACTGATCACATCAACTCTTTGGATAAATATATCAAGTTCACACGAGAAGATGTAAAAAATGGCAAGTTGGCTTTCTTGGACTGTGAGGTCTCAGTCTCGGATAGAGGACATTTGCAAACTGAGGTGTACCGCAAACCCACCCCCACAGACCAGTATTTGCAGTTTGACTCCCATCACCCTTTGGAGCACAAGTTAGGAGTCATCAGGACTCTGTATCACAGAGCAGACAGCATCCCCACTAACTCAGGAGCCAGGCAGAAGGAGAAATCTCACACAAGACAGGCTCTAGAGCAATGCGGATATCCTAACTGGGCCTTCCTGAAAGCAGAGAAGAAACCCAAACAGGACTCCAGTCAGCCATCAGGTGAAAAGGAAGAACCCAGACCCAGACCAGTGGTCATTCCGTATGTTGAGGGAGTATCAGAGAAACTGAGACGTTCATTTTCAAAACATAACGGCCCAGTGGCTTTTAAACCCCAAAATACATCACAGCAAAAACTGGTTCATCCCAAAGATCCAGTCCCCCGGCACAAACAGAGTAATATTGTGTATGCTGTTCAGTGTCAGGAGGGCTGTGATCAGTCTTACATCAGGGAAACTAAACAGCCACTGGCCAAAATGATGGCCCAGCACAGAAGATCAACATCATCAGGCCAGGATTCTGCGGTCTACACTCATCTCCAGGCCAGCAGTCACTCTTTCAGGGATGAAGATGTTCACATCCTGGACAGAGAGGAACGATGGTTTGAGAGAGGAGTAAAGGAGGCCATCTTTGTGAAAATAAATCGTCCATCATTAAACAGGGGTGGAGGCCTCCGGGTTCAACTGTCCCCCTCTTACAATGCTGTTATTGCTAGTATCACTCAACCCCCTGTGAATAGTAAACAGCCAACAGTGTGCTAATGATCCATTGTTAGGCTGATGGTTCTCCTTGATCATGTGAGCAGCTGGTTTTGGTTGTCAGCAGCAAACTGGTTGATCCACTCTGAGAAGGTGCTATTTAAGAGACTGAGCTGAATACAGCACCTCAGACTGAAGCCCCCAGTATACTGCCGCATACATCCATACGCAGAGGTACGCACGTACGTACGCAGAGGTACATGCGTACCCTCCAGCGTACCCTCTGTGCAAAGCTCAAATTTCAATGACCGCATACGCGTACGCGGTGTCGCACAATAAACTGCCCAGCGTTGCACTGTTTTGTATGCGACACCAATGTATTAAATTCCCCTTCTTCATCCCTGATATGGCCTTTTCTTTTGTTTTTTTGCCAAGAGGCAGTGATCTCTTCTTCCTCCTCCATTGATGCCATGACTGAAACGGTGAGAAATGGAGGAATTTGTCACGAGCAAATTAAACTCGGGTCCAGCGTGGCTGCGGGAGGGTCTGGAGATTTCCTGGTGGGCTGGTCTGATGTGTGGGCTGTAGAGCCAGCGCTCTGTTTTTTTTTAATTTTTTAGATCTTTTTATTAACAACATATAAACACAGAACACCGCTGCGGCGGAGGCTGCCAGCACTCGCTTTTTTCTTTTTTCCGACCTTTCCATCAATCCAGTAGGCGTGTCAGCAAATGACCAATCGGCGACCTCAATTTGTCCCGAAGGTTAACGCCCCTTGTCTGTGAAGCTGCTCTGCAGCTGCTCGGGGTGTATGCTGGAGTATCATGACTAAACCCTCTGCGTACAGTACACGTGTACTTACGCGGCAGTATACTGGAGCCTTGAGGAAGTCTCTCGGATGAAAGAGGAAACGTTTCTACATTTTTTTTGTTGTTTTGCTTTTTTTTTTTTTTTTTTTTTTTTAATGTCCAGAGGACCAGATTTAACTTTTTTAGATGTAGGTCATTTAGTTTTTGTTGCTTCCTTATTTAAATGTAATGCAGGAATAAATGCTTCATTATGATCATTTTGAGGGGAAAATTTGGAAATTCAGGGAAGAAGAGCCATGTCAGACTATAAAGAATTGAACCATACTATATAATGTAAAATCACCATCTGTCTACAGTAATAATGATAATGTGAGGACTTGCCTACCTGCTCAGCACATAAATATGGCAAGATACACTAAAATATTGTGCAATGGACTGTACTTGAATTAGGGCAAGATAATTAAGTTCCAGTTCCAAACTCATTCAGACATTCTTTGAAAAAGTGCCAGCCCTGTCTTGTTGTGTGCCAAAATATATATTTTTTTAATTTATTTTTATCATAACACGGATGTTAAAGGAAAAGTCCACCGTAACCTAAAATTCACTCAGTTGGGGTTAAAGTCTGTAAGTAAACTTGAGTTGCACTTTTATATAAACTATAGCAGATCTGTAAGGATGTGCTAAACATCTTGCGTTTGACTTGAGCATTCTTTAGCTCTGCGTTGGTGTTGTCATGGCAACAGGACCAATGCTCTGGGCCTACCACAGGTGTTGTTTACCTTTTTATAATCAAATAAAACTACAGATTAAGATCAGTGTCTACAGAGTCTTTTCTGACCATTTTTAAGTTGGTGGTTAGACTTTAAATCGATGGTTCCCCACCCTGATCCTTGAGGAACACCATCCTGCATGCTGCTTTGACCCATCTGATTTAAATGAACGGGTGATTAACAGGCTTCTGCAGAACATGAGGAAGTAATTAAATCACTGAATCAGGTGTGTTGGAGCAAGAAAACTAAAACATGCAGGATGGTGTTCCTCAACGACCTGGGTTGGGAACCACAGCTTTAAATCAATCAAGAATCGGCTTCCTGAGAGCTGTCACTCCACCACTGGAAACATTTGTTCACTTGTGATTTTTGAGACCACCTTTATTGTACTCATAATTAGACTGGTCATAATTAAAGATTTGTTGATGCACTGGAACCAGTTTGTTTTATTTATTTATTTGCCAAAAACAAGATTTAATACCCCCAGAATGCAAATTAATAATTTAAGATTAGGCTCTTAACCAACTCTGGAGGAATTCAAGTAGAAATGAGAGAAGAGCAGACAGTAGTATAGTAGTTGTAACTAAAAGCTCTAAAAACCAACAAATTTATGGCTTAGTTGTTGCATTTTCCTGCCAATCGTCTCATGTTTTAGATACAAATTGAACCCCAGCCTCATACAACAAACGCATTTCTCTTGCATTGTGTATATATGTTCTGATTGTCTAAACAAACTCCAAGTAAAACCAGGTGGATTTTTTTCAAGAACTTATTACAGTGCTTGCTGCATTTTCATTTCAAACAATATCCTTCTCGTTTCCCTCTTCCCCCTGTCTGCATGTCAGAATCAGTCATCAGTTCTCTAGAGTCTTGCTACAGTTGTGTTCCTCTGTGGTTTTTCTAAATATGTGCTTACAATGAACCCACTGTCGAGCTTAACAACCCCTCACACACTTTACTTCTCCAAATGACCCATCATGGCCACCGTGTGATTGGTCCAATCTAATCCAAAGCCATTGTGGGGTTTTCCATAGTAACAGGAGCAGAACGTTTGTCCTGCATGTTCAGACATGAGGGGCGCACTCAGGAGAATCTTTATTTATTTTAAAGGAGCAGAAAAGCAATATCTGTATTTAAAACAATATTTCTTTTCAGTTGGCTCAAATTCACAGAGAAAGTAATTTTATTTGCCTCGAGACCTTTATTGATTTTATCTGACTACCACTAGAAGTTAATTGGGAGTAAAACTACCTCTTTGTAAATATTCAATTAATCAATCGCTAAAAACAACCAGAAGTTGGTGCAACTCTTTATTGCTGTGCATTTTTAAAAAGATACATTGCAGTAAAAAGGGGTGGCTTTACAGAATGGATGGGAGGGTGTTAGAAGGATCAGATTTCTGGTGAACAGGTCCTCCTCAGGAGTCTGTTCCAGTCTTCAGTCATGGCACAGCCCCCTCTGCTGTCTGTTTGAGCCGGCATGCGTGCACTGCTGTGGCTGGCTTGCAGCCCTTTTTATTTTCAGACAGTGTTTCGTTGGAATGAAGAGCATCTCCTGACTGTGTGTAGCCGTTGTGTCTGGTATGAGTGCATGTTTTAAAACAAAACCTTGTGCAGACCTCTCACCTAAGGACCCAGCTCACTGTTTGTTTTCCTACAGCTCCTGGAGACTGCATTATTTGCTAAAATATATTTTTTAATTACTTTATAGTGAGCTGTTTTACAATTAGTGGCTGCCTTTTATTCTGTAAATTTCAGGTTATTAGTTACATTAAAATCATTTTGGCATTTACTTAGGCATGTCAGGAAGTTTTTATTTACATGTACAGTACTTTTTAAAAACCACTTTGACTGCTGATTCCCAGGGTAAAGTGTATTAAAGTCCATAAATGACTCTAGAAGACCCCAGCTGTTAATCAAGGATGCAATATGAAAGTAACTTTCACTGTCACTAATATCACTATAAGGATTTAAAGATTTATACATGACAAATCCTAACATTTACCACCTTGTTGGTTCTGCAAAAGCATTGCACAGAAAATATGTTAAAGCGTTAGGTTTTATAAATTAAAAAAATAGTGAGCTAACGCATTATTCATGGAGTTTAACCCAGTGGTGGCGCAGAGGTTAGAAGATGGGCTTGTGATCGGAAAGTTGCAGGTTCACCTCTCGGTACAGTCAACATCAAAATATGGGTGGAAAAGGTGAAACACCCACATCTCCCTCCACCCTCATTCACCCCACTCTGGGCCCCTGAGCAAGGCTCTTAACCCCCACCATCTGCTCCCTAAACAGGTCTATCTTGAAAATGAGTTCTCGTGGCTCAATGAGACTACCTGGATAAATAGTGTAAATGGAAAAGAAAAAAAAGAACTTGAGGGTTTTACACTAAATGATAATTTATCTGATTATATAAAGTTCACACAGTTTCAATAATGGGTCATCGTTTTAAATTCTTTATTTTGGTGGTCACATTGAGATCCTTCTAGGACCAGCAGCTGAGCTGTATTAAAATGTGTATATATCAGTTGCATCTCTTCTTTACTCTGTGCAGCTCATGGTTTTTAATAGAAACCCCACGGTGGAAGGGTGAGGGCAGAACAATGATTTTGTTTGGAGATGGCACTAAAGCTAATATGCTTTCACATGTGCCACAGCTGCGTTTGTGTGTTCAGCTGACGATGTGTGTCCGTGCTGGCATTAGGTGAAGGTGATGGTCGATGATGAACTGCTGGGTTACGCCTGCGAACAGTTCCTGGGCAAGTCGGTGATGGAGATCAAGAGTGTCATCCTGCAGACCCTCGAGGGTCACCTGCGTGCCATTCTTGGTGAGTAGTTGCTGCTGTGCTGCTGGCTGAGTAAAAACAATGTTTTTGTGCTACATTTGCCCTCATTGTGTTATTTTTAGATTATCGTAGTAAAACACTACTTCTAGTAACATGTCGAGTTGCTTTTAAATACTGCAGTCTGCAAGCACTAAACACAATGCTGGCATGAAAATCTCCCAGTGCGATGCTCGGTTGTTCGTGTAGAAGAACTACTACTTTTGTCCTTTGAAACGTCTCAGCAAAAAAAAAAACCCGTCCAGATGACCTGACTGAACATTGTTGCATTTATACCTGATCATGAACTTTGGTGTTCATGTAGAAGAATTTGTGACTCACAGCATTCTCTCTTCTTCTTGTTCTTCTTGCAGTTCTTGTTCTTCTTCATCTTGTTCTCGTTCTTGTTGTTCTTCTTGCAGTTCTTCTTGCAGTTCTTGTTGTTCTCGTTCTTCTAGTTGTTGTTCTTGTTGTTCTACTTGCTGTTCTAGTTGTTCTTCTTGCAATTCTTGCAGTTCTTGTTGTTCTCGTTCTTCTAGTTGTTGTTCTTCTTGCTGTTCTAGTTGTTCTTCTTGCAATTCTTGTTGTTGTTCTTCTTCTTCTTCTTGCTGTTCTTGTTTTTGTTGTTCTTTTTCTGGGTTGATCTGGCAACCTTCTCACTGGGAGGCAACAGCGCCACCATGCAGCTCTGCCTCACAGCTATTTGTAATTGATGACAGTAGTTGATAAATTCAAAACAAATCTTCTACATAATTTCTGTATTACATACGGATGATGCATAAAACATCTAATGTGTGTCAGAAAGAGGTCCAATCAAGATTTGTCCAGTACCAGTTTCAGTTGTTTAAGTTAAAGTATGTTCTGAGTGCCCCTCAGTAGTTTGATAAGATGACATTCATTTTACAGCAGCAGTAACACAGACAAAAAGGAAATGCAACAATAATTTAACAATTTGAGACAAAATAAGGTTAGGGTCAAGGTGCCTTTGTCATTCGTGGTACATGAGGTGGAACAAAACTATGTACACAGGGTCCCAGTTACATCCAACAAAAATACAAATCGTAAAGAACAACAGTAATAAGATCTAAGATATGAATTAAGAAATATGCTAAACTAAGAATACATTAAGCACTAATAGTACAAAACAATGTGCCAAACAACAGCAGCACGAACTGAAATAAACAAAATAAATTGAACGAAATAAAGAAAAAAATGACGTAAGAAAATAAGGTTACTCTGTACATGCAGCGTAATATCGTTGAGCTCTGATCCAAAGAAATGAATTAGAACCAGGTTTGTTGGTGCAGGAAAACGTCTGAAACATTCAGGTCTGTATGCCTTCAGGACGAGAACTGAGAAGAGCTGCTAATAGTCCTGTTCCAGTTGGTATTTCAAAGTTTGGGTGTACTCTGATCAACCCAAAAAATAAATGAAGCTTTATTGGAATGACTAATTACTTTTCTTTATGTGTGGTATTACAAATATTTCGAAGAAATCTCCTGTAAAGCTCAAGGATCATCAGTGCACGTGACCTTTGATTCCTCAAGATGAAAGCTGTAACATCTTGATTTTATGGTCGCAGGAGCTTCAGCTTGTCTCGAAAAGACATTAATACGGCACACAGCCTGCCGCTGCTTCCAAAATCTACCAAACTAAAACTGTTTTAGAAGTTTTACTTTAAAAATAACTCATAAATGAGCTCTGTACAGAAACTGTGACCAGTTCTCTGGACACCAGTTCTCTGGACACCAGTTCACCCCACATTTCATGGAAACTGCTGAAGCCGTAAAACCTGCATGACCTAACTGCTGTGAACAAACTCGCATCAGAACCTGATGGTGAAGGTGACGGTGCGTTCGACACTAACTACTCCCTTTGTCTTGCAGGAACCCTCACTGTTGAACAGATTTACCAAGACCGAGATAAATTTGCTACGCTGGTGCGAGAGGTGGCAGCTCCTGATGTTGGCCGCATGGGCATCGAGATCCTTAGCTTCACCATCAAAGTACGACACATCACTTTGTTTTTTTTTAGTTTTCCTGTTCTGGTTGTTGGACGGTTTCATAGATTCCAGTTCTACACCTCACTGTTTGTTACTCCCGACAGGACGTTTATGATAAAGTGGAGTACCTGAGCTCGCTGGGTAAAACTCAGACAGCTGCGGTGCAGAGAGACGCCGACATCGGAGTGGCTGAGGCAGAGAGAGATGCTGGCATCAGGGTAAGAAGAGCTTCAAGTTTTAAGCTGATAAAAAATCCATATGACTATAATAACATAATAACCCATGTGTGATTTCTGCTCCACAGGAAGCTGAGTGTAAGAAGGAAATGATGGATGTCAAGTTCATTGCAGACACAAAGATGGCCGACTCCAAACGAGAGCTGGAAATGCAGAAAGCCTCCTTCAACCAGGAAGTGAACACAAAGGTATCAAAATTAGCACATTTGGTTGCAAATGGGTGGGTGGGGTGGCGGGGGGGGGGGGGCATTAAAAGTGCAGCTGGATGTTACACAGAAAATGTAATTTATCTAGAAAGCAGAGGCTCAGCTGGCGTATGAGCTGCAGGCAGCCAAAGAGCAGCAGAAGATCCGTCTGGAGGAGATCGAGATCGAGGTGGTGCAGAGAAAGAAGCAGATCATGATCGAAGAGAAGGAGATTGACCGCACTGAAAAGGAGCTCATCGCCACCGTGAGGAGGCCTGCTGAGGCCGAGGCTTACAGGATGCAGCAGGTGGCCGAGGGCCAGAAGTGAGTTTAGAGGATTTTACAACCCCCAGAAAAATCCCTCAAGCTCTGACTGTTTACTCTTAGAGGTCCTGAAGCATAAACTGTAGAGACGAGAGGAGTTTAACAAACAGCTTTTAAAAACACAATTTAAATATGTTCTTAACAGGTTTAATAAATGTTTGCTGCACTGTCATCATTTCACAGTGTTAATATTAAAACAAAGCCTTTAAGAAATCTTCACCGTTGAATGTTATAACCAGTCACTGAGTCGTGTTGCTGTGTGCCATGTCTTATGGGGCGGCTGTGGCTGAGTGGTTAGAGCAGTCGTCCTCCAATGCAAGAGTTGGGGGTTCGAATCCACCAGCAGTCACATGTTGAAGTGTCCCTGGGCAAGACACTGAACCCCTCATAGCCTCTGATGTGTCCCATCAGTATATGAATGCGATCTAAAGCACTGATTAGTCTCTTTAGAATGATTTGTTCAATTATCTTTGTAGAGATCTAGTAGAGTGCTGTATGAATGGGTAAATGAGGACACAGATTGTTGTGTAAAGAGCTTTGAGTATCTTTGAAATAAGATAGAAAGGCGCTATATAAGTACAGTCCATTTACCATTTATCCAGGACGAAGAAGGTGCTAACAGCACAGGCAGAAGCTGAAAAGATCCGCTGCATTGGCGAAGCCGAGGCCGCCTCCATCGAAGCAGTGGGAAAAGCCGAGGCTGAGAAGATGAGGCTGAAGGCCGAGGCCTACCAGCAGTACGGAGAGGCAGCCAAGACGGCTCTGGTCCTGGAGGCCCTCCCCAAGGTGTGTGTTCACACACACTCAGCCCTGGCTTTCAGGAGTTTCTGTTTATCTGGCAGCATCCTCACCACACGTCAGCTTCTCTGTTGTTCTTTGAGCTTTTTTTCTTGGTGATCAGTTGAGTACAAAATAAAACCTTGCAGGCTCTTACAGAAACAGAATAGATGACTTTTCTGTTAAATAATCCTGACGTACAAAAGCTGCTTTTATTCCAACTTTTTAACATGCATTTCTAACTATATTTTCAGCTGGTCCCCTCTGCTGCGGTTTAATTCAGTGCTGTGCAGCGTTTGTTAGCCTGAATTGTTTTGAGAAAACTACGACTGAAGGAGATCTTAGTTTAAAATGGTGATACTACAGTGTCTCTTGTGCCAGGTGGTGGTGAAAGTGCTCCAACTGTCCTCAGGGGACAGAAAAAAATCAGGTTTTTGTTGGCCAACAAGTGACTAGTTAAACCTGCTGCAGTATAACTCTGTTCAGTAGCAAAGTGATATTTACCACACGATTGTTTATGAACACAACCGAGCATAAAAACCTTGCAGGTGGTTGTGATTTAAAGACTGATCTGTGCTTCTAGTAACAGCTGTAACTTCACTGTTTGTGTTTTAGATTGCTAGTAAAGTGGCCGCCCCCCTAGCCAAGACCAATGAGATTGTCATCCTGAGTGGAGAGAGCAGCCGTGTGACCGGAGAGGTGACCCGTCTGCTTGCTGAGCTCCCCGTCTCTGTTAACGCCCTCACCGGCGTGGATCTGACCAAGGTGAGAGGAACGCCGATGGAAATTAAAAACAGTTTTATGAATTCTCTGTGATGACCCCACAGTCAGCTGTTTTTATCCAGTTCTGAGTGTTTCAGATTTATAGTTATGAGGAAGTGTTTCTGCCAGGATTGTCCTTTTATGTTGATACGTCTGTGTTTGAACCCCCAGATCCCTCTGCTCCAGAAGATGACCACCTCTCAGTGCCAAGCAGCCATCTGATGGATGAACCCATCGAGCCTGATACTTGTTTCTGCCTCAAGCATGAAGAGGATCTTCCAGCTGGAGATCTTTTTGTGCAGTTGCCTTCTAATCAGAAACTCTTTATCAACCACAAGATTGTTTTGTTTTTCTAATTTTTTTTTTTTTAAATACGTTTTTAAGATTTTAAAGGAAAATTACAGAAGGGGGCTAGGCTGAAGCATCCTCCATTTGTTTAGTTGATTCGTACTGTACTGCACTAGTTATCCAAGGTTTTATGCTGTGATGTTTTCAGTCCTGCTTATCCAGAGCTGCAGGTGAACAGGCGGAGCTGGGTGTTGTAGTCCTCCTCCAGTTTGGATTGTGACATTAATTCACACCTAACCTACAGCTTTCTGTCCAAGAACCCAAGTAACAAAGCAGCTTACAGCAAACGGAGCTGTTTTTATTGTTTGGTTGCAAACTCTGCTCCTAAAAGTAGTTTGACACATTTATGACTTCATATATTTTATTACTGTATATCTTCCTCACTTAAAGCTTTGCTGTATGACTAATATCTGAATCTCTTGTATGATAATCATTAGCTGGCAGTAGAGCATCGTGTTGCCCATCGTCTTGTTCTAACGTGCAGTACTTGTTGGATGATGTTTAAATGTTCCTTATTCATTGTGTGGTTTTACAGCAGCCCCACTGTTCATACTGAACACTTGGGTGTGTGTGTTAAAGCCTTAAAGGAGACCCTGGAGCTCTGCCAGGGCTGCCGGACCTTTCTGCATTACCTCAAACAGCAACTGTTAGACCGTCAGGGTCTGAAGTCATTTTGTTCCTCCTCTCCATCATTCCTTTATCTGGCTAGTTGTCTGTCTGGACAGGATGTCGCCCAAGTTTAGTTGGAAATGTAACTTTAGAAGGAGCTGAAGTCTTTTCAAGCATTTCATATCTGACATCTTCATATGACGATGAAGCAGAAGTTGGGGTTTCGTTTGGTCACGAGTTGGAAAACAAATCATGTGATGAGTTGTTCAGCTGGTTTTAGAATAGAATAGAAACAGCCTTTATTGTCCCACAGATAGGAAATTCAAGCGTAACAGCAGCAACAGATAAAAAGATCAAAAGATTCACACAAAAGTTCCTAAATGTTAAAAACAATATCTAAAGAAATGAGATGAACAATATCAATAATAATGTTCAATATGTGTTATCAGTTTGGAGGAGGTGACGTGAAGGAGGTCGATGAGCCGGCAGCTTTTAATGCTCTTGAAAAAATAAAAGCATAATGTAGTGATCTGCTTTCAGGCTTTATTAAACTGGTAGAAATGTCCCTTTACTGGTTGCCGTTTCCCACCATGCTGGTATTATTTTATCATAACCAGTTTGTAACCTTTTAAATTTCATAGTATAGTTTTAAAGTGATGCGTACTGTTTATTATTAGTCATTTATAATGGTTTTCTACATTATTCAGTGAGTTTACTGTGAACTTTCAGTTTTTTATTTTATTTTCCTACACGTCTGATAAACCACTTTTAAACCACTTTCAGAATCTGTGACCATAAATGTTTCGTTACATTTTACCAGTGAATTATTTTTATTTTTCTGTGAAATGAAACCTAAACCTTTACATTCTGACATGATCAAACCGTAATGTTTATTTTTTTAGCTCCATCCATTTTCTGCCATGTTTTTGTTTATTTGCACCGGCAGGAGTTTGACATAGATCTTTTTCACCCAAACATGGTTCTGTAGAACTACAGAGAAGGAACTCTGATGTCTGTCATTGGTTTTTTTTTTTTTTATTGTTTTCTCAGTTTATTGTAAGAAAACCTTAACTCATTTAAAGAAAATGTACCAAAATGACCGAAAAAAGTTTGTGCTGCAGAATCCTTTCCCTCCTTCCTCATCGTTGCATTTTACAATCAGTTCACAACTCTTGAGTTGAGGTGAAGGAAGCCGTCGTCCGTGTCGTCTGTTCGGTGAAGCTCCTCTGGTTTAGAACGCTCTCAGTGCCTTTGTTTAAAAGAAATGAGGTAATTCAAACGTCACTGTGCAGATTTTTGACTAATAGGATTTTCTTTACGGATGTGCTTTGGGACAAAGACCCTCTTGTTGTATGAACTTAAAGATGTAGTTAAATTATTAACTAATGTAACTTTGAAGCTTTTATGGGAACTTATTTTTTTTATTTTTGGCCATTATATTCCTGTCAAAGTGATTACATCGTCTACTCAGAATATGTTCTTGTTACTCGATGTAGCATTTTATTCAAGGCCTTTGCCCTAACGACGACCTTTCTCTGAAACGTGTTTATTTTGTTGTCTGACGCAGAGTAAGTCACGATGTTCTGGAGAAACGACACGTCTTCTGCAGCATGGCAAAGCGAGCATGTGTTCATGTTCTTTTGTAATGTGTGTCACCCTCTAATAAATGTTGTATCACCTCACGTCAGCCTCCCTGTCTCTAGACTCAAAAGAACGTCTTAATATTTAAGAAATTCTGCACAGTGCACACGGTTTTACCCATTTTATCACATAACTGGCATATTTATTTTGAACATGGCTGTGAAGTGAAACAGGAAGTGACATCAAAGGGGAACTCCATTGTTTATTGAAACTTATTTGAACTCTGACTCTTCATCTTTCTCAATCTTGACTGTTTTTTTTTTCTACCAAGAAAAATCTGTCCAGTTGACCAGTTTAAACTCATTTTGTGATTTATTTACCAGGTTGAGGTTGACTTAAAAAAAAAAAAATATTTGGCTGGGTTGTCAGGCTGTATGGATGAATAGCAAGCGATCATCAGGCCTTTAACGATTGATTGATTGTTATGCACTGATCATCAACTGTTAGACTGATGGTCCCCTTTTTACATGTGACAAACCAGTTTCTGGAATTCCACAGCAGACTGGCTTGAACCACTTTAATAAAAAAAAAAAAAAGGTGTTATTAGTTGGTTGGCAGGCCTCAGACTTAAGTCATTTGGATGAAAGACTTGTTACTGTGTTACTGTTCTCTTTCAAAAAAAAATGCTTTCATATTCGTTACAAAAATTCAATGTCACTGGCACTTTAAGTATGAGTTTGTCCTGTGTCCTAGCTGTCATGCTCCACTTCCACCAGCAGAGGGCACTGCAGGAACTGGTTTATTTATTTATTATATTTATTTTTAGCCATTTTTTTTAGCCAATCCTTAGATTTCCTGCAGCAGGAAGAAATTTTTATTTATTTATTTATTGTGGTTGTGTGTCAATATGACTAGATTAATTAAATTTCTTGTTTTTGGTCACTTTAAATGAATAAAACCTGCTAACCACACAGAGACCACTCATCAAACGCACAAATGAAACGTACAATATATTTAAGTGAACTTCAACTAATTATCACACAAAGTGCCTAAAATGACAAAACATGAAACATTTTTTTTTAATTATTTCTGAACAGATCCTATAAACTAGCTTGTTATTGAGAAAAGAAAAAAAAAAAAAACCATTACTTTCCATGGGATTTAATGTTGTCCTAAAAATATAAATGAAACTGATTAACAAATTTATTCTTCACTTATAAAATATTTTTTTTTTGCTTGAAAATATTTTTTAATCCAGGCAGTTTTACAAATGTTTGATAATTCAGTTCCACGTCCCACTTTCTGATTTCTGCCTTTGTGAACACGGTTTAATCTTTACGTTTATTTCCTCATGGCCTAATTTAAATCTAAACATTTTAGCAGCACAAGGTACTAAATCTTAAACTTTAAGGAATTTATTTTAATAAATAATAGTCTGCTTTATTGTGAGGTGTTTGCATTAGTTATTTTGCTTGATGTTTTACTCTAACATGATGTAAGACTGCTGCTCAGTCTTTAGTGCTTTAAGAATGTACAAATAATATTGGAGTATTTATCTTATTGCTTCAAACCTCTGAAAAAGTATTAAATGGAATTTTTACTTTTGACAAAATACTTCGATATTTATGATGTTCTTGACAGATGTTAGTATTTATATCCTTGTATTTTGAGGTTTCGAACCTTTTATCAATAAAAATGTATACTGGTATCGATTGTCCACCATGTGTGGACGTGCGGAGGAAAAGACAACATTTATTAGAAATTATGCAAAATGTTTAATTTAAATTATTCTTTATTAGCAGATTCCTTTTATAAATGGAAAATGGACTGTACTTGTATAACGCCTTTCTATCTTATAGATACTCAAAGCGCTTTACACAACGTGTCCTCATTTACCATTTCATACAGCACTCTACTAGATCTCTACAAAGCTAATTAAACAAATCATTCTAAAGAGACTAATCAGTGCTTTATCACATTTATACACCGATGGGACACACATCGGAGGCTATGAGGGGTTCAGTGTCTTGCCCTGAGACACTTCGACATGTGACTGCTGGTGGTTTCGAACCTCCAACTCTTGCATTAGAGGACGACTGCTCTAACTACTCAGCCACAGCCGCCTTGAGTTAACTGTCGACTCCATGTGGAGTCACCGCTCCATCGGTGGGTTTTAACCCAGTTTTTATTTCAGCGCGCAGCCTCTGTCTTCTTTCACATCAGTTTTATGGAGCAGTAATAAAATCAGTCTGATGTTTCTCTCAGGTGTTCACTGGATGATGTCATAGTCTCTACTCCATCTCTTCTATTCTATATTTTAAGGACAACACCCCCAAATGATGAGCTGCATGAAGCTGTCAGCTCCAGCTCATTGAGAATCACTTGATACCTGCAGAGGTGCTCAGTTCCGCCTCCTCAGTGCAAAGACCGGTGGTTCAATGCCCAGCTGGAGGCTTTCTGTGTGAGTCTTTGGTTTGCTCCTACAACTTAAAAACATACGTTTGGTTACCGGTTGATTCTCTAATAGACTAAGAGTGTGCACGTGTTGACCCTACTATGGGCTGGCAACCTGCCCAGAGTGTCCCCTGCCCCACCCAGTGACTACGGCCCTTAAACCCCCACCCCACCTCTGAGCAGACCAAAGCTGGTACAGGATGTTCAGACTGAATCACACGTCTGTTTTCTACTGTTTTTAATCTTTAATCGTTCATTCTGCTCCAAACTGAACCAAACTGCTGGTAAAGATCCGATTCATCACAGACTCTGCTCAGATGTTGAGTGAAGCAGCTGCTTCAAAAACCTTTTTCTGTTTGACGGAGTCATGGATGATGTGGCTCAACAAGAACTAAATCATTTGGAGAAAAAGAATCAGGCACACAGATGACTTTGTCCTGCTTGTTCCTGAGCACCAAGACTCTCACTCACACCTAGAGACAACTCAGAGTCGCCACCGAGCCTATCATACATGTTTTCAGTATCTTTAGAGCAAACCCATGCGTGCACAAAGAGAACATGTCAACTGCACACAGAGGGTTCAAAACCTGCAGCCAGGTCACAAAACCAGAGGAGAGCTGTAGAAATCCTGAACAAACAAAAACACAAGCAGCTAACGATGTCACCGTACTGTTGAAATGTGAAAGCAGAAGTTCTTCAAACCTTCTGCTCCAAAACTTTAACTTCACTTCACCGTCCTTCAGTTGAAATATTTCATCGGTCTCTGGTTTTCTAGTTGAATAAAGTGTTTTTAGTCATGAGATGTTTTACAACATATATTTCTCTCCTTTAAGGTGATATGTCAGTTTTTATTGCTTTATGCCCCAAACTATAGTTTGTTTATTATTATAGATCTAAGTTGCATGCGTCAAACTCAAGGCCCATGGGCTAAATGCGGCCCGTCCTAACCATTTCTGTGGCTCTCTACACCCCAGAGGGCCACAGAGACAGAACTTCAAGATAACAGCTGTGCTTCAGTATTACTTTATCAGTCAAATCACTTTTAGTGTTTATAATGCCAAATTACTTAAACATTAAATATTTAATTTTTAGAAGTAGTCATTGAATGCAGTTACATTTTACCAGTTTGTTAATACGTAGTTTATCAGTACATTCTGCCATGTCTGGTCTTTTGAGGACATTCATGAGCTTGATGAGGCACAAAATGAAAAAGAGTTTGACACCCCTGAGTGATGGAACGTGAATTTTATTTCTTCTTTCAAATACAATTACCTACAAAGTTATCTTTATGCGTTTAAAAGCAGGTCATATTATTATTATGCACACCACACAAAATAAAAATTACATTTTATTGTAGTATTTATCTTGTGTACTTGCAGTCTTCAAAAGTATTTTTCTCATGTCTGTAGCTGAATGGATAAGATTAATGGATTATAAAACTAGTTTTGGGTACATTTGGCTACTCTGATGTACATAAAACTTATACTGAGTTGTACTTCCATAGCAACTTCTTTTGTTTAAAGTAAACAGAATAGAAGTTACTTCTGTCCGGCTGGTATTTGGTAAAATAAGTTGTCTCCTCCTCACGGACTTATAATCAGTTTGTTGGTATTAAAACAGAGTTACAGAGATGTACTTTGCTCAGGTGTGAGTCTGTGGGGGTGGGTGGGGGTGCAGTTAAAGCGTCCTTCCTTTTTTGCCTTCTGAGCACTAAAAGAACAAAACAAATTAAAAAACTTATCTGAGAACACAAATGGAAAGCTGTAGGAGCAGCAGCTCCTCTGCTGCAGATAGTGCAGCTGGACGCCGAGCCCAACACACAGATAGTCCCACCTCCGTCTTTATCTGCAGCAGCAGGACGATCCCTCACACCCCAGCACAGATCCCACACCCTGACCGGGGAGTTACCATGGCAACCGCCGCCCGCTCCAACTGAGAACATGTTGCGGTTCGCACGTAGCAATCGAGGTGAATTACTAGGTTTAGTAAGAAATGTTTGAGAAATGACCTTAAAGGAAGACGTGAACGTCACATTATTAATTTGTCTATTCTGGAAGAAGCTGAGAAACATCACCGCTTCCTCCAAAAAATGTGGTTATAGCACATCTTTTGTAAGTTCTGAAATCCTTGATCTTGTTGCCTTTAAAAACAAACAGAGAGGCAAAAAGTCTAAGAGTTTACTGGGAAACTGAAAAACAGGAAATCTGAAACAAGACATCCCTCAGACAATAAGCAGCGGTCTGTTTTAAAGGTCAGGGGTTAAAGACAAACCACAGCAGGACCATCACAGCTGAGCAGGACCTGGAGTCTGTGGCTTACCCAACACCCAAACTCCTCTCAGGCCTCCATGTCTGAGAGGAGTTTGAGCCCACGGGAACCAAACCCACAACTTTAATGAGTGACATGACATCAGTGTTAAAGTCTAATACATGAATGCAGACAGCCCAACGTTAGATTTATCCCCACGTTGTGAGATCAAACTTCTCTGAATGTGTGGAAGATGTTGTTTATTTTAATAATAATTATTGTTGTTTCTGAGGCTGAGCTGTAGTAGTTCAGTGGTGCTGCGGTCTTGTATTCCTGAGACTGCAGGGTTGAGCCCAGGCTGGAACAGGAAGGGGGTTAAAGTGTCCAGTGTAAAACTATTTCCACAATCTTTCTTGCAATTTGGCTCAATGAGGATCTGCAGAGGGCAGCAGCTGGCCACTATCAACACTGGGGGTGTAAATCACCAGCTTTACCATGATACGATTTTATATTGATTTGTTTGTATGACGATACGATTTTTCTCGATATCACAAATTCTGTCATGATACGATTTCGATTCTATTCGATTCACAAGTCTGCGATCGATATATTGTGATATCAAATACCCATCTCATTAACATATAAATACATTTACAAAAACAATTCAAATATGATTTAACCATTTTATTTCTGTTATTACAGGCACCAGGCATTTAAATAACATTTTTCTTAATTAATGAAAAGATAAAAATAAATGACCTGTTCAGTATAGTCTCACATTTCTCATGTTTAAGTGCATTTTTTAAAGCAGTTAACTTAAGTGTGTCCTGATTACCTTTCAGTTATAAATAAACAAAAGTAGATATAGAGTGTACATAACATGGCTATCAATGCCCTGTTTCTTCTTCAGGTGAACAGACAAATTTGTTGTTTCTCGAGTATTTTAACTCACACTGGCACCTGTTGCATACAACATGAGTTTTGTCTGTTGAGCCGTCCTTCTGTTGGAATCAAAAATATTTCCACAGTGTTGATTTAAATCCAGCAGGAGAGTGAATTTCATTATCTGTGTTTTCTGCCTCGTCTGCCATGTTGCTGATGCGGCCGCAGAGCGCAGCCGCAGAGCGCGGCCACGCACAGAAATGATGACACAGACATGCCATGGGAATTTCAAAATAAAAGTGTATTTTAAAGATGACGATATTAATCTATGTTTTAGTTTTGCCACAATATAATTGAATCATTAATCATTTAATCGATATATCTATGTATTGTTACACCCCTAATCAACACCCAAACCAGTGGAAGATTTATGATCGTTGAGTTTATAACTTAATGTTGAGCTTAGTGTGTTACATCACCAACTTCTGAGCTAAATAAACTTTAAAAAAATGTTTGCTTATTACCAAACTCTACTCTTTCTATACAGTACACACATCAAACTGTAGGCATGTCATATTTCAACAACTGCGTCTCCCACTGTCCTTTCACTGTCACTGTCCACCGCCACTGTCCTCTCGCTGTCCTGTCCACTGTCACTATCCTGTCCTCTCACTGTCACTGTCCTGTCCACCATCACGGTCCTCTCACTGTCACTGTCCTGTCCGCTGTCACTGTCCTCTCGTGGTCCTGTCCACTGTCACTGTCCTGTCCACCATCACGGTCCTCTCACTGTCACCGTCACTGTCCTCCCGCTGTCACTGTCCACCGTCACTGTCCTCCCACTGTCACTGTCCTCCCACAGTCCTGTCCACTGTCACTGTCCTCTCACAGTCCTGTCCACTCTGTATTCTCTTACATAAAACTCTACAAACAGATGAAAACTGAAATGTGTGACGACCAAATGCTTCCTCCAGGAACTCCTTTTTGATAAGATTTAGTTTCTGAAAAGTCTGTTTATGGTCTAATTCCTACTTTACTTCCGTCTACCTGTCTTACTGAACTTTTCAGGGAGTGAGAGGCACAAATGCATAGTTACCATGGTGAACCCAACAATTCAACAGTTTTAACATTTCTTTTAATCTTGGATCTCTTCTACAGTTTGACATCAACATGTTGACATTAGATTATGACAAAAGAAGATTTCTGTCTTGTTTTAACAGAAGAAAGTTGATTCACATCAGAAGTTTAGGAGCTTGGCTTCTTCAGAAACATTCAGTTACAACTCAGTGAACGGACGTTAGGAGGAAATGGGAGAAAGGTTTTATTTAGACACTTGAGTTGTGGGTACATATTTTCAGTAATTGTCAAGACTAATGAACACAAGTTTTATAAATACAAAGTTTCTTTATAAACTCCAGTAAAAACTGGCTCCATGTGTCTCTGTTCAGCTGTGTGTGTGTGTGTGGGGGGGGGGGGGGGGTGTGTGTGGGGGGGGGGGGGGTAATGGGTGTGGACCTCACTGGACTTGGGGAATCGGGTTGAGAACAGATAAGAGGAAAAAAAAAACATGCGGTCCACCCCAGATGTCATCACGGTATGCTAATGAGCAGTGTGGGGGGGTCTTTAAGTGTCAGGGTCCAACAGTCGGGGTAGATCGAAGTCACCAGAAAACGACAGAGTGTGAAGGAAACATCTAGAGGTGAGAAGATGTTAAAGCAGGCCTAATCTTATGGTAAATTATTTACAAACGTTTTGAATGTTTTAATGATTCATGGACGTTTTGCTAACAGGCTCCTCAGACGACAGGAAGCAGCTGCTCTCCGTTGTGTCTTGTGCCCTGGACAGGATATCATCTTATACTGTAAGTTTTTTAAAGAGACACTACAGTATAGATGATGTACTATCCAGGGTGTCATTCCACCTCCGACGCCATCAGAACGGACCCGACCGGAGGCCTGACCAGCTGATGAGGGGGGCTGTGAAACCGTTACCATTACTGAGTTTTAGTAATGGTAAGGGTTCTACAGCCTTCGCTCGATCTCATCGGACCCACGAGGATGGACTCTGCTGACTCACGTCTTGATTCACAAGTTTTTAATAAATCAATCTGAACTCCACCTTGAATGAGGGTCTTTTTTAAATTTTATAAACATTAAGAGTTTCTGTTGAAGGGACAACTTTTAAGACACAAGCTTTATTTTAACCAGTTTGAGCAAACATCTTTGTGATGGAACTGGCTCATCCAATCAGAGTAGCAGCAGTTAGAAGAGCAGGAAGAGCTTAAGGGGCAAACAATCTCTGAGACCCCCCCCCCCCTTTATTTTAGGTCACCGTCTTGTGATTCAGAAAGAAGGCCAGATAGAACAACTGTTGATTTAACCCACAGGCAGCAGGGATGAATCTAATCACCATTATCTGTCCCCTTTTAGCATCAGGTTAGTGCTCCACTTCTCCGTCCATTAGAGGACAATGCAGTCCTCGGGGGAAGAGCTGAGCTTTATGAAAGCCAAAAGAGCAGAGGGACCTGGGGGAGGCAGCAGAATAAAAAAGTGAAAGTCGCTGGGATGGATGGTTGCACTTTAAAAGGCAGTGGGAGAAGTGGAAAGAACAGGGCTGGATGGTCCATCAGGGACATCTGAGAGAATATGACTGCAGGTCTCACTCCAGTTTATCTACGTTTGTTGGTACTGGCCAAGTTAAAAAATAAAATAAAAAAAAGAGCTCTGAGAGCCAAAGATAAAACGTCTGCCTTTTCACAACTTGCCAAACCCACTGAGCCGTGAACACGCCGTCAAACCTGCGTCAAAACATCCATTTGATGAGTCTGCCGTGTTTGTTACCAAAGATAAGGAGAAACTTGAACGTTTAGATCAGCCTGTGGTCCGCATGAACTTTAAGCACCCCCCGTTTAAAGAACAGCATCCTGTCCGTCACATATTTACATGGAAACTGTTAAATAATGGCTGCATAAAGAGAAGATGACATTAGCTAAGAGCCAATGTCCTTCACATAAAGAGGATCATGGTGTTTACAGACTGAAGACAACGCTACAGAAACAGTCATTACTAATCTGACAGGGTTCTCTGGATTTTCCTCAGCTGGTTCCTCCATCTTCACCTTTTCATCTTAGCAGAGAGCTTGAGCCTCACTTCCCTCAGGTAGAGCTGGCAGAGGTCCTCGCTTGCCTCTTTGGCGATCTGAGCTATCATTTGGCCTTTTTTGCCGATCACCATCTTCTGAAGATGCGAGAAACAAAACAAGATGAGGAACCAGAGGACAGTCTGAACAAATGCAGGTTTAAAACAGGTGGAAAGTCTTAGAAGGTGCTGCTCTCTGTCACCATAAACCACGGGTGTACAAAGTGTGGCCCAGGAGCCATATGTGGCCCTTACAGTGATTTTGTGCAGTCCACAACTGCAGTTTAAGAATGGTATCATTTTGACCAGTTGGTTTAAGAGGTCCGTGCAGACTTTCTGCAAATTAGTTTGTAATCCTTTTTTTATATAATGTTCATGGTTAACAGCAAAACAGATGAAAAACAATATTTTCAAAATGAGCAATATTTAGCAAAATACAAACCTTTGGCTATAATTGTTTTATTTTCACTTCATGGTACAAAACACTAAAAACTTTTACTGATTCCTACGAGAAAGGAGACTTTTGGATAATGATTCATAAAACGTGGCTAAATATTACAGTTGATAAAATAATCAAGAGGGAAACTGGACATTTTTCAATGAATATAACATGGTATCATTTACATATGAGTTGATCAACTTTATCAAACCTTCTATGAATCTGTTGTAGCGACTGACAGCTGGATGATGTTTCAGAACTTCGATCAGCCTTTTGGGCCATCCATGGTCCAAAAGACTGATCGACCCCCTTATAGAAGGACACTTGATCCAATTACACTTTTGTTGCTGAGAACAGACTAAAATTAACTTTCCAAACACTACAAAACAACAAACAAAGACCCAACAAATCTAATAAATTAAACCCTTTTTAATAAAAGATACAAACTTAGTGTTTATGAAGCTTTTAATGTTTTGGATCTACAACAATTTAAAACTCTTTTTCCACCAAAATCAGTAAACTTTTGTCCTTTCTCCAAAATATTGTTCACGTTGAGATTTAAATTCACATTGATGTGGTCCTTTCGTCTGGATTGTTTTGGCCCACACATAAAAGCGTTTGGACGGTATTCAGTAAAACTCCCACAAATAAGAAGCAGTATCTTACAGAACAAGAAAATCGTTTGGAATTAGGAAGTACTCAGAAAAAGTTCTACGTCACACGTTCTTCCATCCGTGTGAGAGCCAGCGACCTACATTTCAGTCATCCTTTCTGGTTTGAGTGAAGAAACTAAAAACTGCTTTAAGTGACTCTCGTGACGGCAGCAGCTTCAGCAGCATAAAGACGCATCTACAAACATTCTCTGTAATCAAATATACATGGTCCTGGAGGGCTGTTCAAAAATTCAAGAGTTAAAAACACAAGAAAAAGAATTTGTAAACACGAGGGAAGAGGCAGAAGCCATGAAGGAGGCTACAGGTGAGGAACAACACCTAACACATGTATCTGAGGCAGTCAGTAATTTGTGCTTTATTCAGTGGACAAAATGCATGAACACAACAACAACCACGGTGTCTTTCACTGTAGGAATTTAAACCTCAGTGAACCTCGTTTGGACTCCAGGTTGTCAATGAACGACCCGCTAAGCTACAAACCAGATTCCAAAAAAGTTGGGACACTAAATAAATTGTGAATAAAAACTGAATGCAATGATGTGGAGGTGCCAACATCTAATATTTTATTCAAATTAGAACACAAATCACAGATCAAAAGTTTAATCTGAGAGAATGTATCATTTTAAGGGAAAAATCTGTTGTTTCCAAATTTCATGGCGTCAACAAATCCCAAAAAAGTTGGGACAAGTCCATTTTTACCACTGTGTGGCACCCCCCCCCCCCCCTCTT